AAAGTTTGTTTCAATTTTTTCATTTTTGAGACATACAAGTTTAATGGCTCAATCAGCAAAAAAAACTTTTCAAGTTTTCTTCCCTATGACAAGGACAAAGGTACCTAAAAATGAAAGTGGAGATTCTCATGTGACTCTGTGAACTGGGACTTTACCTACTTGTCATAAAATGAAGTTGGAAAAGCAGAGATACATACATACCACTGTCATCCAGGCACCGAGCCCTTTGAGCTCCTAGTACTGCAGAGGTGCCTAGCCTTAAATTTAGCCTCATCATTTGGGTAGAATCTGTAATAGCACGTTGCTTTAAGCCTTTGCAGCTTGGGAACATCAGACAAACACTCATTTAACGCTGTGCAAGAGCCTCTTAACCTCACCATAATTTCCTATCTATCAACTTTACCTGATGCTTTTAAGGACAAACTTTCTATAGTGGTTTTAACAGAAGGATGTGAGGGAAATCCACGTGTATTTGGAAGATCTCATTAGACCCTTGACAACACTGGCAATTTTAAAGCCTTGTGCGACTGGAAAGAGGACGACTCGTACGTGACAGATGCTGGTCACATTGCTTAATACATTCTGGGAAGGTACTCAGATACTCTAGCCATGAAATTGTACGTAGCTGGGGATTATCACTAGATGCATAAAAAAAATAAGGGAATGAGCAGTTGCACATTTTTCTTCGTGCACTCAGAAAACTTCAGAGTTTTTTTAAAAGCTTCTCACTTCCCCCTCCTTTTCTTCTGTCTTACTCACAACCAGTGATGACTACATATGCATCAGGAAGACTGCATGACCACAAACATTACCAGCAACAGTCCTGTGGCAACCAGGCATTCTGAAGAGATGAAAGCAGTAAGAAGCATTCTTCTATCAAACTGGACACTAAGATATTAACGTCTGGCCTGTTAACACACTGTGACTCCCAACCATTCAGTGAAACCTCCCGTACATCCTGCTTTTACCAGGTTTGCTGCTTACATAGTTTTCCCATACGTAGATGGTTGTGTTGAGAGACAGAGCTCAGACTAGATAACTTCCAGGCTGGCAATACAGCAAGTTATTATTCTTCAGAAACCGTTATCCTCAGCAAATTTCTATAGCTCGTCCTGCGAGCTCTGCGATGTCCAGGGAACAGGGTGGACCACCACAGAGCTGCCTTCCAACATGTACTGGAGCAAGAACGCAGTACCACAGCACACAACTTCATGAAGTGCTACAGCCTGCTTGCACCATCCCACTCAAACCCATGCATGCTAGAGACAATACTTATGATTGGCACTTATTCATAGCTTTTAACACTGTTGGACTAGAATTTAGATGTTCTAGATCAGGTTTAAACGTGCCTTGGAAGAGCTGTTCCTGCAGACCTCCAAGGACCTATGTCACCCTTATGGATTCAGAAGGCTTACTCATTAATTCAAACAACCAACTGGCACAAAGGTCCCAAGGAGTCAGCAAGGAACTTGATAGCAAAAATCCTAGAGTTTAGGAACTACTGAGGCAGGCACCTGGGCTGCTACTAGGTCTTAGAAGATTCATTTCACAGCGGCTTTTATAAAATCTTTAGGAAAAAAGCCTGGGGAATTGACACCTTCTAGAAGATATTATCAGCAACACTAATTTAAATATGCACAGAAATCTGAATGTTGTACGAATAAAACCTAAACACTTAAAAACCAACATTTAAGAGAAGAAGATATTCAGCTACAGAATTCTCACTCATGCTTAAGTCAGTAAAACTCATTTTTGCCCCTATTAGAACAACTGAAGCACGTATTTTGTAATAACAAGTTTCAGGCTGCTTTTTGGAATTGGAAAAAAAAAAAATCTGTCCCAGTTATGTAAGTGCAGCCTGGTATGTGGATTACTTTTAAATCTGTGTATTTTATGCATGACTATTTAGATACGACAAAAGAAAGTGGGTGACTTCCTAGCAACTAGGGCACAGATACAAAGCTTCTGCATGTCAGTATTTGAGGATGTGGTTGGTAATAATTGTAAAAATACTTAAGGACAGCTTTGCTATGACTTAGATACTACGTAAAAAAGATTACTAGGCAACTCAGATCCAATTGGGGTACAAGAGTTTTTGTAAACTGTAAAATTGTACGATAATAGCCAAGTATAAACCAAAAGCTTTGATTCTCTAAAGCTTCATAATTTAACTTAAGATATTCAACAGAAAATTATATTGATACAGTACTTCATGTTCTTAGCAAACATTTACGCTTCATGAAAGTTACCCTAGACCATCTCTAGTTGGAAGATTCTCATTTCTGACCAGTTTAAAGCCGAGTTTGGAAATTTATTAAATGTTTACCTGTTATCAAGAGTCTTTAGATGTTAAATGAGATATACAAAGGAATTGCTTCTAAATGAACAATTCTACTAGTATAACCACCACAATCTGGTTTTGCTGTGAGCACATCACTAGCGTGCATCTAGTACCCAAAGAGGTAAGCACAGTTAAAAAGCACAAAAACTTTTACAAGTTATAAAACAAAACAAAAAGAAACAACCACATGCACACGCAGATCAAGGAGAAGTGCTTTAACAGTCTCCATCCAGGAATCTCTGTACTTATATCTCTATAGCTTGATATAAGAATACCTTCTTCCATATTTTACTAGGAAAACTGCAGTGTAAAGTCAGTCGTATCTTCAGTGACTCTGGGGAAATACCCCTGCTGTCAAAAATGCAGAGTTAATGCTTATTTTCAGTTAGCTGTGAGTATCTATTTGAAGTCCCCATTTAAATACAGAATTCAGTTCTTATACTTAATAAAATGTAATTATGTTTTGCAATATTTTATAATTTTAAAAAGTCTTCCAGAATCGAGTTTAGATTTTCAATGTTTATTATGAATCACATTCACAGTGCAATACAAATTCCATAAAAAGCTATACAACAAACATACAAAGACTACATGAAGCACGTACCATTCTGTAATGCATACAATACCTGATGCTTAGGCTAGAAGTGTTCTTAACACCTGATAGCAAGAAACTGAAGTCAAAAGATAAATAATTGGATTGAGAAACTCCTTCATTATTTAGTTTTTTTTATTGAAACCCCTTTATGTTGGTAAGCAGGCTATCAATGTAAAAAAAAAAAAGCCACACTGCTCTTTCCATATAGAAAAGTTTTTCCACTGTTTCAAACCTAGATTAATTTTCAATTAATCATCCTGTCCTCCAGCAAAAGTAGTCACAAAAATCAATTTAGCACTTCGCTTCCAGAACAGGTTGATGATGCAAAAAATAAACTATAAACATACATAAAATCATGGGTCAGCGCATAAAGTTTGGAAATACTATATGTAAAAGTTTAGAGACCAAGACAGTCCAATATATGCACTGCTTAGAAAAATTACACAATGACAGTTCTCAAGTACAGTACACAATTTTAATGTACTGCCCATACCAGAAAAATACATTTACTGTACGTGTCTACAATAATTCCTGCAAATGTTCATTGACAAGTTGTGCTAGTACTTTGGAGACCAATCTAAGATTTTTAGCTGTTTTCACAGCCTCTCCTCACATGTTATATAAAAAAAAACCTGGCTGGCTAAGTGCAAATAAGTGGTAATTTCCACTACCAGCCAGATTCTGGTGGCAGTTTGATTTTATTTCACTTTATCAAATAAAAAAAAAACCCTCACAGAAGTGACTTTTTTTTTTTTTTTTACCTTCAGTACACCAATGGTTTAGTGATTTCAGGAGATACTTTTCCTTATTTAACCTATGCATAACTTTAATAAGAGGTCCTAAGGACATATTCTTGATATATAGTTTAAACTAAGGGCAAGCACTTGCCTAGTAGCAACAAAGTGACGGCTCAGAATATTTCTCAGGCATGACAGAATTATGAATTTCAGGAGAACAGATTCTTTCATGTGCTAATTCTAAAAAATTAGAAAGAGATGTGTTTTTAGCCACCCACTTTTGGAGTTCCAGAGCTGTGAATCTGATGAATCAAGACTTATTTTCAGTTAAGACACACAAGAACTTCCCTTTTGACAGCTGACTGTAATGAGGAAATTATTGCTTTAGCACCTCAACACAGCCCCAGTGGGGTCAATGGATTGTAAAGGCTACATAAATTGGCAAGCCACAATTTTAATTAAGAAATTTGGGTTTGTGCGTCTGCATGCACAATCTGTTCAAGTATTACAGAGGGCTTGTAAACCTGGACATAAGCTTTAAGTTCATGTAAAAAAAAACAGTAAGGATGTAATATGAAAAAAAAAAATCAATCGATCATATTTAATATCCATATAGATTTGCATTCTACTATGCCCTATATAGCAATAAGCATCCTTACTGATCACTATTCAAATGCATTTCCCAAAACGCTAGTAGCACTTCTTCAGTCTGTTTTTAGAATTAATCCAAAATAAACTCTACAGCAGTGTGTAGTACTTTATAGCCAAATTTTCAGTACTACTACTGAGTGTAAAACCTTTCTCCTGGGGTCTAGTGAGGAAGAGTTTTTTTAATACCATCAGAGCCCTCCTCTGACTCCTGGTTGCTCTATGTCCCTTCTAGCAAACAAAAATGGTGCCAGAGACTCACTGCTCCGAGTCCAAGGGAACCTCGTGTATATCCCATACATGACTTGGGAATACCGGAGGCAGCTTTATTGCCATAGACCCTGAGTGGACCTTGGAGCATCTTCAGCAGAGGACTTGTGCTCAGAATTCACCTCAGAGCAGAAGAGTCTGGCGAGCGCTCACTTACCAGAATGCTGTTATGACAACTCTCAGCATAAATGCTGCTACAAACAACCTTATTCAGAAAAGATGCTGAAGCCGAATAAGCCAGATGTACATTTTATAAGTCATGCACTGCTTCTGAAAGCATGCTATAAGGAGAATTCATTTCAGCCTAGGCTTTCAGAAAAAGTCAACGACTACAGCTTCCTCTCTGGTCCCCAATGAAGACAAATTTGCATGTGGGAAAGTTTTGAACAGCAAGTTTCACATAAACGCACTTTCTAAACAATGTGTCTGAGTTAAAGATAACAATTACTACTGCATCAAATTTGGATCAGCATTGCACTTTTCAAATGTCTTACCATTAGATGCTGACAAGAAACATTCAAGTGTCAACAGAAGTTTAGAAATCACTATAAAAAGTTAGTAGAAAACCTCCATTGTTTCTGGAGTTGAAATACAAGTCTCAAACACAACACAGGTGGGGAGCTATGCCATTTACTCCAGTTCAGGTAACGTGGTATTAAAACCACCGATAACTTTATAAAAGGGATACATGAGAAATACAAAACCAAATGACAAAACTTCTTACATACTACTGCAATATTCAAGCCAAGTGACATCCAAGTGCTGAGACAAACCGTATGTGAACACCTTCATGTTAAACTTCACATTCCCATCTGCATGTCAGCAAAGTTGTAGAAATTGTCTACATCTTGAGACGCTGATGCCTTGCTCTCCGATACAAAAACCTGTTTTATTAAACAAGGAAATAGTTATGCATCATGAATGAAGAAGTTCAAGTAATCTTCGCTCATTCGGAGCCAGTAATGGTTATTTTTATTTTTGCATTTCATGAGAGGCACAACTCTGTTGGTTTCCACTGTGTGTTAAAATAGTCCTAAAATTCTCGCAGCCTTGACGCACCCTTTGTAGCCGTGACCTGTTCCTAGCAGACATGCTAGCTGCAGTAACCCTAGCCTTCCACTGATGGGAATTAAAAGTTTTGGGCTCGATTATTCAGGGGTCACGCTTCAGCTAGTGTTCATTTAGATGTATTTTGCTTGGTAAAGTCAAACTCTGTCCAGGAGAGGGGAAAAACAGACAAAAACCTTAGACTACCATTAAGCTTTCCTTTAACAGAAAAGCAGAGTTTGTAAGAAAGACTCCCTTGCACTATATTCCCCTCAAAAAAACTTAATTGTTTCTTCATCAGACTTTTTTTTTTAAGTAACTTCAATTACATTTGCATTTTGCAAAATTGATCAATGCATATGAAAGTCTAAGCTCTAGGACAGTCATCTTTGAAAGCTTTCAGCAAATCAACTACAAATGCTTTAGGGAATGCCCAAATAGTTCAGTGTAAAAGGCAAAGTGTTGTGGCTGTTCATCAATCTCAACATGCAAGTGATAGCCTCAATCAAAAACTTAAACTGACTTCTTACTATCTTATATTTTCTATGCCTCAAGAGGAAATCATCACTGTCTCAGCACATCAGCGTTGGCACAGCCAACTGAGCTATTCTGAACTGCACTGGGACTGTAGGAATGGGTTATTCCAGATGACTATGCTCCTACGGTCAGTACTTCTCTGCTTCAGCTCAGAATACCACGTGAATGTAAACTGTGACAGTTCCTTGAATTGGTTTACTGAAACTATGTTTTAAGATTAAATCAGATATTTACTGGCCAACAAGATACTAAAAAAAAATTATATCATCACAAAGCAAGTAGCTTCCTAGACTGTTGCTTGGATGCGTGGTAGACTTCTATATGAAGGGACTTGCAAACATCTACTAATTATTTGGCAGTTGTTTGGTTAAGCAGCGATTGGTACCACAGTCACAACAGTTGAATACCTTCTTTCAGCATCCCTCCCTACCAGGATATTACAATTTACATTTTGCCGAGTATTTTTTGAATAAACGATGAGAGGGAGGAACAATACTAGAAAGCACACTCAAAAAAGTGCAGAAGGTCACACCAGAAAGAATGTCAGAGGTAAAGAGCGTAGATGTACCTAGTCCACACAAATAGGAAGTCCGCTTAAGTGCATAGCGTAGAGCTCTCCTTGTAACACTTTGTTTCTACCAAACGGCTCAAAAAACTCTAGTGGTGCTATTGCTGAAGAACTTTTCTACCCTTACTCGAGTATCTAGAGTTGTTTATCAGATTTATTTCAGAAACAAAAACCTGGTGAAATTAAGGTTATTAACAGATTAATTTAATCATTTTTAACTGTGATTTTCAAATGCAAATGTAGCCACCTGCTTAAAAGCAGATTAATCTCCCTGCAAACTCCTACAGGATGCATGTCTTCCTAAGAGCTTTGGCATTGTTTCTTGATCGAGGATACCTTTAATTCTTTCTGAGCACTATAACAACTCTCAAACACCATAAGGGCAGCCAACAATGAGGTGAAACCATTTTATAGAGCATTCCTGAACCTTCTGGTAGTAATAAGTCTGAAGTTTGTTACTCCCTTAAATTACTGCTAACTTACATGCCAAGAAAGAAATACATTTTCTAAAAAATATGTACTCATGATATTCAGTTATCTGGGGATCCATGCACAAACTTAGTGTTTATCAGAAGTTTTGGAGTTACTTTTTATCTAAATGAAGATATATACTTCTCAAGAAGCCCAAAGTTCTGCTTCTTAATTCAGTGCAGCAAGTATTTAATAGGTGAAGTAGATTTTACTATGGAACCAGGCTGTAAACAGAAGTTTTAAATCCAGACGCAGTAAGTAATTTCACATTTGGAACTGAACCCAAACACTACAGATCACCTTCAAGAACAATGCTTACTTCACAGCATGAAGTGCACAGTCTGAGGCTTCTGGATGCATCTCAGATCACGGCTTTCATAGTGTTATAGTAACAGACACCAATCATTTCAGTGAGGAAAATATAAAATTGTATTTGTTCTAAGAATTAGTACCACTTCAGTCTTTGAATAAAGAAAAAGATCTAGCAGAACCAGTGAATTATCTACCCAATACCAGCTTTGTTCTGTCTGAAAAAAAATATGTTAACGACACTAAAAACAAAGCCACTGTAAGCTCCTGCTTAAAGAGGCCATTTTTATGGTAAAATTTGCAGTGATGACTTTTGGGTCACAAGAAAGAATCTAATATCACAACACTGCCCAGACTGTAGTTCTAGTATTCTCCAGACTCAGAGAACCAAATTAAGGCCTGCTACACATCAGTTTTTTTCTGGTGCAATAGCAAACATGAAAAAAGTAAATCTTGGCTTCTTTTGAGATGACTTATTACAAGATGACTGTTTTCCAGAAACCGGGCAGTCTAGTTCCGAGTAACTCTTTCAAAAGGAACTGAAAGACAGCAAGGAACTGCATGGACGCTATGTCTCAAAGACATTCTGGTCTTCTTTAAACAGCTACTTGAAAGCAAGGGGTTTGTCACTTTCTCGTTATCAGGAGTGCTTTAATTGTTTCCAGAAACTTTCTCAAAGCCATTGCCATTCAGAGAAATGGGGACAGCAAGGAAAGAGGAGGTGTGGTGTAAAGAAGCTACAGGAAAACAAGCTGACAGAAGAAGAAAAGAAAATGCCTTTGAAGGAAGGTATCCTGCGATATCCTACACAGCAAAAGTAAACCTTGAAAAAAGTTGAAATCCCATCATATTATCTTTGTCAGGGTTTAATAGACTGGGACATCACAAAGCAGACTTCAGTATAAGACTTGGAGCAGAGCTTTTCCCTACTCTATTTATAGAACTTGGTTTTACTATCATGTGAAATAACAGTTTTAAGTGGAAATCATCTATTCTTCAATAGCTATAGGGATGTAGTACTCTCTTTCCTAGGGCAACTTTTCTTGTCTCTGACAAGCAACTTAAGTTTTGAGTACAAAAACCCAAAGCAACAACAAAAAATAGGATATTCAGATTTTACTATTCAGAAACCTAAAAAGATCATGCAGTATGTCAATGCTACAGCTTGACCGTGAAGTATCCTAGATATTCTGTAACATTTTCTGCCAATAAAGCAATACACCAGCTTACCTTGGTCCCACTAAAAACATCATTTATAGTGCTTTGACATCCTTCCACAGCACCATCTCCATTGAACTCCAAAGCAACCACTGGACCTAGAAGACAGTTTCATCTAGAATCAATACTACTTTTAAGCTTGGCATTGAAACAGTAGATTTCTCAGCCCATAGGGAATTGTGAAGCTTGCAAGAAGCATTTTATGGTTTTTGCTTAAGCAGCCATAATGCAGGATAAAGAATTAAAACCACTTCACCACAGGTTCAAAGTACAGTGTTATCCGAGAAGAAATTATCTGCAATTCCATGCTCATGTTTGCAGAGACTCTGGCAGGATTCCAGTTTTACTTCTTGAAAGGCAGCAATGGCACAAAAATGCTAAGGAGCGCAGGGCATCATGAAAGTGAGTCAGACTATACTGCTCAAATAGTGAGCCATTTCACAGACATCTGGAGTAGGACTGAGTCATTCACGCATTTTTGCCTCAGTCCCAAGATAGCAAACTGCCTGATTTTTCAGACTTGTTCTCACCCGCTATTTGCAGATCCCCTTTCTCTGGTTTCGTTCTGAACACATTATTTCTTCCTACACAGGTGCAAAATAGCCCTTAAACTAGACTGTCATCTGATAAGTACAATAACTTTTGTCCTGTTCTTGCAATGAGCATCACAGACCTCTTATGTTACTATGAAAAAACCTGCATGTTGCTACTAAGTTTGGGAGGATGTACTGAGCTTCAGCATATAACAGATGGCAAGATGTCAGTACTTCTGCAGGAAGAGACAAAAACCAATTACAGTCAGATCAATAAAAATGCTTTTGAAATACTCTGACAGTATACCAGTTATAAACAGAAATTTAACACTTGCCTGCTTTACACATCTATACTGATTTGCTTAGATATGTATACAAAAACACTGAACATCTAGGTGGTTGAGCAGCAACGGTGATAAGTTAGAAACAGTCTAAAAGGATGAGCTTCTTTTGACCACCCCAGACAAATCTGTATGTGCCACTGGTCCTGAGTTGGTCTAGTTGGACCACTAGAGGCGGGGCAGAGCCACAAAATACATGTGGAATGGCTCATTTCCGATGCCTTCAGAAATTTTGGCTGGTTTAAGGCCCGATTGAGGCTTCTGAAACTCATCTCAACTGGCTTTACACTATGCCCTCGAAACACAAATTTCTCCTTCATTCCTGTTTCTTCTCCAGAACTCTCTAGTGACAGCTAGATTTTTACATCAAGAAGAGAAAGAAAACAACACAAACTCACCTTTTTCAAGCAGTGGAATGAATTCTGATGCACACTGCTGGAAAACTCTGTGAGCATCCTCTGCCTTCATTGAGACTTCTTTAGTCTGTACCAGCTGAAAGCCTTTGCCAGTCATCTGTTAACAGAGAAAGAATTCATGTTAAAAATGCTTCTAAGGCAGAGAGTTGAGCTCAAATATTCAGATTACACTGGAATTTTCCCTGTACACATTAAGCCACAGAGCAAAGGGACCCTTTTTGCTCCTTTCAAAGACCATTTGCTTTTTCTACATTTCTGTTTATTTTCATTCCATTCATCCAGATTTTCTCCTCTACCTTAGTGCACCTAGAGGAGTAAATGTGAACATTTTTGTTTTATATTATGGCCCAGGGTTGTGTTTTTTTCCCCCCACAATCCCTCACAAGCTGAAACTAATGGGAGTTAAAAGCACTCAGCATCTGGAGTCAAGCAGTTAGTTCTCAGTCTGCAATAGTTCAGTCAAGCGTTAGCTCAAACTCTCATCTATCCATTGCTGAAGAAGTTTTCCATTTTTGAAAAAAAAAAAAAAAGTTACAAACTTTTCAAACACACACAGCTTTTTACTTCAAATCTAATACAAAACTAAAAGCACGTGGAGAAGGAGCAACTGTATTTGTACTTCCACAGCATCCATTAATCTACAGAGCAGCAAGATTTCCACAGAATCTCACTAACTAGTCTTTTAGCATCTTCTTAAGTCTAATTTGGACAGAACTACAAACACAGGAGAACACATCTATTATCCTCTTTGCTGTAGCTATTCCTTCTGCAGAAAAAAAACAACCCATAAGTATCATTATCTCCCTTCACTCAGGTAGCTGTTAGTAACTCAGTTCCACAAAAATTCAAGTGGGCAGTAGGGGGGCATGGGAACGCCCTACAGCTTTCTTTCCTTGCAGTTAAAAACCCAAGCAAAGGAGCTCCATCAGTTGTTTTGTTGATTGTATAACACTGGGATCAGCAGGTTTGCAGATACCTCTCTCAGAAGCTGTAGCTCATGGTTACTGGCTCTGCTCTGTCATCCCTAGCACTCCAGGGTGCTAAAAGCAGCCAGCCACTCCCAGATTTTAGCCCCAGGAAAGCCCAAACTCAGCCAAGCCTGGGAGCTGCTGCCTTGCAGGGATTAAAAAAAAGAGAGACAGCACCAGCTATTTAGTAATCGAAGATGGCTGACCAGCCGTGACAAACACTCACTGCCTCTTCCAGAAAAGAATTCCAATACTGGGTGCCAAGGGGGATACAATTTAACATGTTATTTTTTTAAAGTCTCTGTTAGTACTGGAAAAACTTTCAAGACAGACTGCTTTGTTAGCTGTGACTTTTGGGGCAATAAGCTAACAAGTTAATTGGCTACATCCCTTTGACAAGCATTGCCAATCACTTACTCTACATTTGGCCAAGTTCATCAAATCAACTACGCGTTTTCTTCAGAACGTAGCTTTGGTGTGCCATGGTGGAAAAGTACACTGGAACTATTAGAGGACAGATGTGCCAGTCACAGGATGTCAGCTGTAAAACAACTGTCTGATCAGATGAGCTCCAGTCTCTTACCTTCCTTTAAGGTTTTAAACAGTGCAGTTGCTTGGTATGGTGAGTAGACAAGCAAAGCTTCTGCATTCTCCCTTCAGGGAGCACCGGAGGCTATCCAGAGGAAAGTCCAATTAGAAATTCAAAAAGTTGAATGCAGACAAAGGTCGCTTACCTCATCAATTAACTTCCTGGCATTTGCAGTTGTGTAGTCACCAGCAAAAAACACGGCCAAACACGATTCGTCGCTGCTTTTCTGTCTCCGCCCTCGAGTTATTGGTATTATGCTCTTCATAGCATCGGTAGAAATTCTGACAGCTTTCAGCTCCTCAGAGCTGGGCAGAGGAACGTAATCTTGGACTACAGCATCCTCAGGCAAAAGGCCCCAATTATTTTCTCCTGACACAGGGGTAAAGTCATGGATGTTGCTCCATGTGTTATTGAAGATACTCAGTCCAGCATCTTTAAATTGTAAAGCAAGCTCAGGATAATAGTACTGGAAACATCCGAATTTCATACCTGTGGAGGACTCAATAATGGGCTGGGTGGCACAGCACAAGAACACCTCCAGCTTTCTGCAGTCCCGAGCACGAAACTGTTGGCAGGCCACTATGCATTTACAGTCTTTGCAGTCACGGAAAAACACGCTGCCTTTTATTGGTCCCAAGAAGATTTTGCAGTTTACACAGTCATCAATAGTGATTGTAGCAGAATGGTCAAATATGTAGATGCTACAGTTCTCACAGTTCTGAATGATGAATTGTTGCCCTGCTACTTTTCCAGGCAGTCGACCCACAGTTTCGTCTTTAAGTCCAGAAAAAGTGTAATCTTTGGGGTCAATCTGAAGGAGGAAGGAAAAAAAAAAAAAAAAAAAAAAAAAAAAAAAAAAAAAAAAAAGAATGTGAAAGTCTTCACGTACAGAGAATACTATCATGCTAAATGTCAACTGACTTGCATTAATTGAGGTAGCACTGAATTGTACAGGATAACCTGCCAGAAAACTCTTCAAAGTGTGATGAAAGATCAGAAAAAGCTCTTTTAGCTAAACTACTGAAATGCACACTATTAAGGTACAACAAAGAATTGAAACAACACTTCTAAGGTGCTTCAGGAAAAAACACCTAACTCAGTTTGTCCTCTAATAAAGAAAGGGGGCAGGGGGAGCTAGGTTTCTCTGTGGACTGTTTCAACAAGGATGATGGTCCTGGGTATTATCGTAATAACTGTAATAAATGAATTGGCCCACATACTTAAAGACTCACAAAGCTAAAGAGACACAGTATTTCCTTTTCAAGTAGCTTTCTTGGTCACATTTTGCCACAGCTCAACACGCTGCAAGGAAACCTTGCTGCTTTCAAGCAGTATCTCCTTCATTACATTTGCCAACTACAAAGAGCTTGCTTATCTGCGCCACAGCATCATCTTGTGCTAACAACTACAAGATTTTTGTGCTAACAACAGCTACGTGATTGTTTTAGCTACAACCAACAAGCAAACCTTGGCAGTGCTGGTGCAGGGGGCACATTTACAGACCTCTCCTCCTCCACGCTCCAGCATCCCACTGCAGGGGAGGGACACTTGAGAGAGGCTGTGGTTTTCCCTGGGACTCTCCATTGGGGAGCAGAGACTGAAGAGCCACAGAGCGCCCAGGATGGTCTGTGATACAGGTGGGGAGCATGAATAATACAGCTGGTGCTGTCGTAACACCGAAGGAATCTGAGCTGGGTCATTTCTAGATATACATGAGTCAAGATAATTATGCTTCCCGGAGCAAATTCTACTCTGCCCTCTTGTGAAAGCTTATTAAAATAGCACTCAGAAGTATACAAGTACCCGAACTAGTCCGACACAAGACCACTTCACAAACCTGCTATTTGATCATCAGCCCAAGGGGCCTAAAGCTTGCTGCACCGTTATCAGTGTTAATGCATTACAACAGTTTCTGGATAGCCCAATTTGTAAGAAACTCCTCCTCCTCTTCAGCATCTCAAACATTCGCAGGAGATTGAGAGACCAGAAAAAGGCATAAACCAGGATGGGCTAGTGCCAGACATTCACTAAACCAGGTCAGGCTAGGTAGCTTTTGTCTACAACAGCTAATGGAAGCTAAAAAGTCTTTACCAACTGATAAAATGTACTCCTTTATAGTCAACATATCTGACCTCCGGACAGGAGAGGAAGTTCGCAGCAGATGAATCTTTCAAATAAAATGCAAGTTGAGACAATGAAGATGGCTTCCTAGAAATCTCCCCTCAATCATATTTAATACCACTAGTACACAACCAGGAAAGTTAGCTGGAAGAGTTACAGATAAAATTGGGAGACTCAAATGATAAGGGACACAGCATGGAGACTCAGCCACACAGTATGATTAGGATTCAAACCCTCTAAGGTCTTAAGTCTCATGTAATGTTACATATTTGATCCATACACAAGATATTTATACTCATATTCTCTCATACTTGAGAATATAAGTATCAAAATTGCTTTGGACACGTCTTTCCCAGGCACCTCCTAGAACATTTATATATGTATGTGTGTGTATATATATATAATGTTGGGGGTTTTTTTAATAACCTTGGGAGACAGGCTTACTGCCTTCAAAACAGGGTATAGAGGAACAGTTACTTCTCCTAGGAAGGACAAGTTCAAAGTTTCCGGAACTTACAGCTTTTTTGAAAGTTGTCACCTCAGCGTGTCCTTCTAAATTGCTCTGCTCTAAAAAGCCTCTGAAGCAGCACTAACTCATCCGACACAGTGGCCTGTACAGAGATGTGTGAAACTTCACCTTCACCTTGCAATTTTATTTAGGCCTAGGTGAAAAACCAGCGGTTAGTCAGCTCACCAACAGCTTACAGACAGTTTCAAATGAGAGCGCTTGAGAAAGAGTAGTAGTTGAGTTCAAGGATAAAAAAAGTCAGCTTATTACCAGATTCAGGAGCTCAATTTTATTTCCCTGACATGAATTAAGAGTTCTGCACTGACACAACTCTTACTTCTCAGTTTGTTCACCATGCTAGGGAGTTTTCCAATTTCATTTAATTTTGCTTTGCAGTTTTCCTTTTAAAGATTAAGAGTATTTATTGACTAACACTGCCGTACAGACTGGAGGGACTGAATGAAATAGATTTTACACTCTCTCTGCACACTGGGTTATTGCCCCAGCAAGGAGGGGGTAACCCAAGAGACTGTAGCAGATCTGAACATTTCACTTCTCCTGGGTAAAAGATGCATGCCAGAGAAAAGAGCGTGAAGGCAGAACTACGATTTTGAGGATGCATCCAACAGCTGCTAATATGCTCATTGCGGAGTTTCACGCTTACCAGCTCTGAAGTCTGCAGCTATCATCAACAGGTTAATATTAAATCACTGCATCCACCTTCCGTACCTTGACAGTCAGCACTAACTGCTTCTTAAGCTCTGTCTCGGCAACATAGCAAGAAAGCAGGCTAGGAAAACCAAAAGCAACAGGAGAAGGTAACATCTGCAGCCTCATACAACCATAAGCAGGGCTATGTAGATTTCTCTGCCTGTTCATCTGGTGCAACTTTTGCTATAAAATCTTAAGTATGTGGCAGGTCAGCAAAAATCAACTGTTAGATAACTCATCTATTTATCCTTTGCATTTGGATAAAGCTTCAAAGAACTTTGTCCAAATCCACCCATCTCACCCAGACAGATGCTTTACTCTCCATCCCTTAATACATTTTTAAATGTCTTTTTTTTCCTCAGGCTGGTATTAGTCCAAATGATGACAGTATTTATAGAGGCAACTTTTAATGCTTTCAGCTGAATTTAAAGTTTTTGGAGTAGATACGAGTCGTGCATTAATAGATACAGGCACAGCTCAAGAGCTGAAACCTTCTAACAGAAATTCTATGCGCAAGTTCAGGAATTACTCCAGAGAGTGACCTCAAATAACCAGATAAGATGACGAAAAAGTAATTCCTGCTTACACAATATGGTTCCCCCTCAGCAGAGGTACAGAAGTCTCATCTTCAGTTATTGGTCATAAGCCTGTTACAAAGGACCAGAGGACAAATTGTAAGGAGCAGGGATTTGAAAGAACAAAGAAAGGAGAGAAGCGAAGGCAAACAAAAGTTTGCCATGGTTGCTTTGAACTCTAGGAAGTTCTGCTGCAACAAGTGCAAGGTGTATTAAGCAGCTTTCCTTCCTACAAACACGTGTCTTGCAAGAAGGTCAGAGGCCAGGTGTGAAGGCTGCAGATGACGTACATCTCTTCAGCCACCATTATCCAGATTACTGGCACCAAGACTAGGCAGTTCCCATTTGGAGGAAAACTTAGAAGTACTAGACCCTCACAGTTTTTAGTGGTAACTGTGCCTAGACTCACCAAGGATCCCAACAGCTTCTTGAACTCTTTCTGGCATGAGTTCATGTCTTAACAAGACTTTTTCACCGGGTCCATCAGGACAGGAGTTTTAGTCAGCAATGATACGCCACCACAAATATGAGAAGGTACTGCTGTTCTTAATGGATTACGGTTCTCCCCTAGCTACCTGGGTCTAGCCTGCTGAGCAAACAGTAGTCTTTCTAAACCATTTACACTAAGGTCTTCTCTTTTAAATATCGTTCTCAAAAAAAATCATTCCCTCTCTCTCTAAATCACAACAGACGGTGGTTCAGCTATGGACTTATATACAGTCAATGACATACAAGAGTTGGCTGCTGACCCAGTGACATTAAAAGCTGCAGCTGTAAGGCAGGCACACGAACTTAAGAGGCTTTTCGTGCTATTTTTTTCAGTAGGGGAATCAACAGAAAGGAAATAAGCAAGAAAAGTGCATTCCCAGGCCTAGACACTTCTGCATATTCATACTTGCATGGGATTGGTGCCCTTAAGCACTCAGTTGCAACATCCTCTGGAGACTGTTTGTTGAAGTTACTCACCTCTGGCAGATTTCTAGATTCTTAGGCAACAAGAAAGGTGGAAAGAGGGACAACATGTGCAAGTTCCAGTCACTAGCATACAATTTTTCATCTTGCAGCATCTCCTGTGCACCTTGACTTTAAACGTAGCCAATACAACAGTCTGAATGCACGTTCATTCTATTGTTTGTAATCTTCCCCCTCTTCCAGAGTACCCGTAATAGCACAAAACGGTCATTCTCATACTTTCCTGAGCAACGAACCATTGCCAAATACTGCAGATAGGAGAAGAGAAAGAAGAAAGGCAGCTAGTACATGCCTACATCTGACTTAACTGGAAATATTGTTTAATATGAACCTGCTGACTGTTTCTCAGTTGATAGACTACGTTTTGAGAAATACAGCAGTAGTTCTTCTGGTGCACTGGGAAGTGTAAGGGAGAGGCACTGGATTAAAGGACAAAATATTTCACTGTCTAGTAAGAGGGGAAAAAAAAAAAGAAAAAAGATGAAAGTGATTTTATTTATATTCCAAAATAAAATACAAAGTGGCTACCTAAACGAGATCTAGGTAGTTCAAGATGTCCACATCAGCTTAGACCATTCTAGCAGAACCCTCAAATGTATGGTAACTAACAAAAGACTCTATCTATGATTTATGTAGAAAGTTACACCTCTGAGTTTTTTTTCTAAACTGTTTGAATACAGCCATCACATATAGCAACGATAGCTGTGTGTTTCCTATCAACTAAAGCAGTTATGTTGCAAGTCAACTGACATAAAACAAAACCTTACTTGTTCCTTCTAAAAGGAAAAGTCATCTGGGAAGGAAAGTCCCTCTAAGCTTTAAATGCCATTGCGATCATAATTAATCTAATCCTACTTCTTTACACATGAGACAACAGCAAAAAAGACGATGCAGATTTTTGTGTTTCTTCTCCTGCAGAGAAGGTCACAGCTGGTGGGTGTATCTGCCATCGCAAGACACAAACCCCCAGTTCCTGTCTGTACGTACCCCTATTCAGTTACTGCTGCAGTTACCGCTCTGGTCACGCATGTAAACAACGTTAGTCACACAGAAGGTACTGAGGTAGGAAAGGAAAAGGGAGACCAGGAGCAGAAATACAATCTTACATTCCGGGTGGAAACCTAGCTGAAGAAGGCTGAGGAGGGCTGAGCAGCACCAAGTTCCTCCCCCACACTTGGTCAGAAGGGGACCCTCATGACAGCCCAATGACATCAACACATGACAAGTCCCCAGGATGTGGTGCAGCGATAACAGCCTCTGTAATGAATGGTGCTCCACTTACTCTCCTGGACTAAGAATCCCAGAGCAGCGACAAACTGAACGCTCATCCTTTTCCCTTCTCTTTTCAAGATAAGCTGATTCTTCTATTGCACCATAGGTAATCTTCACACAGTTCTCCGAACCCAAGGGTCAGCAAGCATTACAGAGATCCCAGCAGACTTATGACACAATCTAAATTTCATTAATGTTTGCATACCTTTAAAACACAGACTTCTGTCCTCACTTAAATGAGGTGACGTAGATATCTGAAAAGGCCCCTCAAACTCATATACCTTCCCTAATTTCAATTCAACTGTCAGCATCTTATAATATTTTGTATTTGGAGTTTTCTACCACACAGTCCATTTTTGGGACTGTTATACAAGAGTTACATGCTTACTAGGATATTGTCATATTACTCTTTGGCTAGGTTTACACTAGCAGACCGTACCAATACCAATCATCTTTTGCCACCAGAACACAATTAAAATAGACTAGGCTAACACCACTGTCCTTCAGAAGCAGAAGAAATAGTTTAGCTGGAGGAGCTCCTCAGGTTCAGAGCTTCTTCCAGCACAGCTGTCAGCCAGCAGTCACCTCTTCTCACATCCCTAATCAAACAAGCATGCACGCAAGCGTGCCTGCATTTTTCTGCCTACAGTAAGAGTGTCAGCATGGCATTAGTTTACAGGAAGACAGCTGGAGTCTCTGAGCAGCGAGACTTACCCACCTGTAAGAACATACAGAGGATAGCTTACAAGAACTGTGGACAATTGCCAAACCTGCTTGCAGAACTGCACTATATAACCAAAACTGCATCAGCGAGTAGGAGAGCCTAAAATTAGAAACGCACCCCCAACCCAAATGGTGCATCGACACATTATTAATAGCAACAGGAAACGAACATCAGAAGACCACTAGCACATCTGTTGACAGAGTTCAGGTTTTCTGGGTTCAGAATACAAATCAATGCACTTGGTGAACAAAAAGGAGCCTTCGTGCCAAAAGTTTTCCGACTGACTTCAATCTAACTCTGTACACAAACACAAATTGTGAAATAAATAAGTATAATATATGCAATGCATCAGAAATGAGAAAGCAATAGACAGCAGGATAACGTATCAGAGACAATACTTAAAGCTACTCCATTAACATTGACTTAGTATCACTTAATGCAAACTGGGATCAAGAAGGCGTCTTAGTGCTGCTTTCCTGGTTTAATGTACCGAGCATACACCCAAGAGCCCAATGAAAGGTAAAGCTGCAAAGAGCAAAAGAAATGGACTTCAATGCTAAATAGCCATTCTTGAGCTGTACAGTACAAAATTAAGCAGCTAATTTGATGGCTCCCACAGTTCGGTAGCACGGCCCAAACTCACCGATTCTTCTGGTTTCTAAGAGTCTTTTATAGAAAAGGAGGAAGTCGTTGTACACGCAATGCATTACGTGCTTTTTTTTCCTCCACAGAGATAGATTGTTGGTGCTGTAATAGCCTTGTCTGTTAGCTTGAACCTACTTCCAGGACGTTAACAAGTCAGCTTCTTAGCAACAAGGCTGGCTGTTCTCTGAATCAAGTGTTTCTATGTCCTGACTTTCCTCTCGTTAGTTTTAGAAGTTAGCACCATATAAGCAGATGGAGTAAAAAGTTTCATATAAGCTGAGCTGTAGCTGATGAATTTGCTCTAAGATTAGATCATACGATTTCAAATGCTCATTTAGCAATGTACTTTTGCACAGAACTAAGATTTGTTCTGCTACTCTAAAATGCGGTTTCAGTACAGCCCTCTCCCTGCGAGAACAGCCTCCGTACAAGTAACAGGCTGCCATCCTCTCCTTCTCTCTCCAACGCTGCACTGCAAATATCCACTAGCAAATCAAAGCAACAAGCCCACCACAGCTCAATCGTCTTTATCCTCAATGAACTGATTCCTCCAGGCCACGTGCAGGCTCTCTAGCTCATTTCCATCTGAGCTTGTCTTAATCTACTGGGAAGACTTAAGGGACACCCTAGAGCACCTGGCCAAGTTTAAAAAACAAGCAAGCTGAGCATTCAAATAAGTTCACGCGTTTTCTTTTCCATACTCGTAAAATGTGGCCTAAAGGTTTGGAGATTTTGTTTGTTAAAACCACATCAACTAAGTTTATGGCCTGCCCCATTTCCTCCTTCCCCCACCCAAAGGCGGCTGGAGAAGAGGGGGGACCTAGCAGGGCTATGATGCCATGATGTATTTAGGAAGTGAAACTTGAAACGAGGGTGCGGAGAAATACATTTCATCCAGCACTTAAGGGCTTTCCTGCTTGAGACTTCGTGATTGCCTTCAACAGGTCAGGAAACAGCACTGGGAAGGATCCGTCTTTATCTGTCACTGCAGGGACTGAGAGGTTGTTCTAGTCCCTCTAGCTTTTTTTTAAAAACAAAACCAAAAACAAACAAACAAAAACAAAACCAAACCCACAACACCCAGAAAACACAACCTGAACAAAAAACCCTGACAAACCCAAAGAGCCAAGCAGGAAGAACAGATACTATTGACCGTCAGGACACAAGACGCAAGTTTCGCGCCTCCGCTGGAATACCAGGAGCGGGGACTCGAGCCCCGAGAGGCACAAGCGCTATCCAGCTGCCCTCCCGCTGCCATTCCGCGGCTCTGCCCAGGTGAAGCAGAGGAACCCGCGGGGCTCCAAGCTACCTCAGAGTTCCCGAGGCGGCCGGACAGCAACTCGCCACCGGT